CCCCAAAACCCCAAAACCCCAAAACCCCTTCCACCATAAAAGATATCAGTATTGATATTGTATAAATTAATTATATCTATTGACAATATGGTAAGAAAAACACAGAAAAACATCTAAGACGTGTGGGTCGCCTCAAGACAGCAAGACAGATTCTACATTACTAACAAAGTGTTCTCATTTATGCTTTCAGCCTCATTAGCTGGAGTAACACTCTCTTACAAGCCACTCTGCCATGAGTACCAAGAGTACTATGATGAAAAGGGAGAGGAAGATTACACATACACCATCATCTATTGGTTCTTGTTTATTTTCTACTCTTTCCAAGCCCTCGATGAACTTATTGAAATGTTTTCAGTCCTCACTAAGAGAGAGAAGGGTGCTTTGGGACTTCTTTTCGAAATGAACTATATTATGGGACTTGTTCTTTCAGTGTTCTTGGTAGTTTTCGTTTTCACTGCTGCTGAGTTAGAGGAGAGATTCAAGCCATTATATAACTGGTTGTTCTATCAAGTAGTTATTTTCTTTGTTGCAATCGGAGCTATCCTCGCTATTTCCACATGCTTCGCTGTAATCTAGAGAAGAACTCTCAGATAACAGAAAGCCTCACAAATCGCTTGAGTTAACAGATTCAATGTATTAAGTTGATCTACTCTTAATTCTTTAAAGTTAAATTGAATCTAGTCTTAATAAGTTAAATAAAATGATAATACCTTAAGTATAAATTATTGGTTGTGTAAGTTGACTTAATAATTATTTATTATTACCATTAATTAAAAGTCAATAGTCTCTAGTTTAATGTCCGTAAACAAATTCAAGGTAATAATCAATATTTTGTTAGCCTCTTATCAAATTTTAGCTCATATATAAAAATTTGGTTCAATAAACCGGTAAATAAGCAGTAATGATGACTTAGTCATCACGTACATTCCATTCTTTCAATAACCAGCACAGGCTTATAGCATCTAAATTTCAATAATAGACACAAATGCATTAGTTTTAGAGTGTTCAATTGAGATTTATGTCGATGGAAAACAAACCTTAGGAGTCTAATGATTAAAACAAAAATAAAGATTATGAAAAGAGTTTCGAAGATCTCTTAGGGAAGTAGAAGGTATCAGAGGAGGAATTAAGACTTAGAGATGAATTATTGAAATAGAAAGAGGAGTAAGAAAAGGCAGCTAAGATTAAGTATCAATCTGATAAAGCATAATTCGAGCAGAAAAAGCAGTAGGAGTTTGAGGATTTATTGTCAGGAAAGAAGAAGGCGACTGATGATATGACCCTGGGCGAGTTATTCAAGAACTTCTATGGAAAAGTCAAAGAAGTAGACACTACACATTATGTGAATAGCGCTAAATCATCGCTGAATTCTTTCTCAGCTAAATTAGAATAAAGAAGATAGGATGCATTAAAAGCCAAAGAGGAAAAATAAAAATAAGAGGCTGAGTAAAAAGCTCATGATGAATAGTTGAATAATGAAAAGAAAAAAGAAGAAGCAGCTTAGAAAGCTCAAGAAGTTAAATAAGAAGAAGTAAAGGAATAATAGAGATAGGAAGAGCAAGTACAAAAGTAATAGGCTCATGAGGAATAGGTAAAAGAGAAAAAGGTTGAGGAATAATAGCCAAAAGAAGCAGAGCAATAATAGTAATAACAGGCTTAAGAATAGTAATCATAGGAGAAATAAGAGGATTAAAAATAGGAGTAGGAATAAGAAAAGAAAGAAGAATAAGAATAGGAATAAAAAGAGGAAGTTAAGAGAGATCCTCTTCATCGTAGAATTAGACAAGGTATTTCTGAAAAGGCAAATAATGTCAGTGAAAAGATAGAATCCAAATTCCCTAAAGCTCATGCCGTTACTAAAAAATCTGTTCTCTATATAGCTCAAGTGTGGGAAGAGACTTTCCCAGATGAATAAAATAAAATAAAAAAGAAGATGATGTAAAGAAAGACATCTGCTGCAGAGAGAGAACAACTTGAAAAAAGACTGAAAGAGTTGGAGGAGTTATAAGCAAATGGCGAAGGTGAATTCGATGAAAACGACGTCCCTGATTGGAAAAAAGGTGCTTTGGTTGTATCAGACTAGTAGGAGCCAGAAGAAAAGAAAGGTTTCATTAGATCATAAGCAGATAAGTTAAAATCAAGGATTGCTTAGACTGATATGGCTAAATCCATCGCTGAAAGTGAATAATACAAGTCAATTAAGCATATCTAAAATCAATACAAAGAATTCTAATAAGCCTTGAAGGAACAAGTGGAGGAAACCCAAAATCCATTTGTGCAGGGAACTAGACGTATAGCTGACGTAGTTACATCTGAGAGCAGTTGCGCTAGAGCAATTCAGGAGATGCAAAAATACGACAAGACATTTGATCTTTAGGATTTGAACATTGAATTCTAAGAAATATTTAAGGAATTTTTCTGCAACTACCTCTCTGGCAATGTAGAATATCTCGAAAAAGTATGCGGTGGTCCTGGTCTAGCAATCACAAAGAGTGAATGCAAAAGAAGAGAAGCAGAGGGATGGAAGTACAGATACACCGATGTCTTAGACTGTGGTGCTGTAAATTTCCTTGGAGGGACTGTACAAGAAAGAGGTATTCCTCAATTTACATTCACTATTATGGTCCAAGAGATTGATTGTAAAGTTGACGTCAAAGACGAGAATAAAATAAAGGATGGAGATGATAATAGAATTCTATCAGCTACTTATAGAGTAGCTTTGGCAAGACATGATGAACCCGATCTAGCACTAACGGGTCATTATTGGGAGATTGTTGAATTCAACAAAGTTGGTGAACTATAGCAAATTGTATGAGACCTCGTAATAAATACATACTATCTTGAATATATTAATTAACTAACTGCTCCATTCCAACTAAGATATTTCTATCCTCATTTAAATTGAGATGCCTGGGGTTTTGGGGTTTT